ATTAATATAGTAAAAAACATCTAAATAAATAAATATTCTTTCATATATATATAAACATATATACATCATATATATATATATTTATAATTCATAAAAACAAAAAATATATACGAAAATATTTTTTTAAAATATTACCTCTTTTGTTGGAAGTTGCATTTACTTTAGCTATCTTTAATTCAGAATCAATTTTACTTTGTAAATGATTCTCTCGCTTCTCCAACATTTGCAAAGTATCCCGTAGTTTAACAATTGCATCTGTAGTATTTGTTTTTGGCTTTTGTCGAGGAAAAAAAAGTTGCATCTTTGTCAAGTATTGATAGTAGTTCTTTTTTAAAAAGTGATAAATAATTCTAAATATAAGCGAATAAATTTGTAAATGGGATCAAGTATAGTTATTTTAATTATAATGGAGAAAAATCAATATTTTTTCCGGTGCCACGCATAAAAATTTACTATTTTGAATCATAACAATCTGATACATATTAATTGGATAATAGATCAAATGAAAATGTGAAAATAACATAGTTTGCCAACGATAAGACGGACATATTGAAGAAAATAACTTTGGCATAAAAGATAACAATGGCATTAAAAAGGAAAATCTTGAAATAATTTTTACCTTTTTTTAATCTTGTAATCTTCGAGTACATTTTTTTGTCTAGGAAATTCTCATTAAAAGACAAGGAAAAGATGAGATCAGGAGAATACTAGTAGGTGTTGGGCAAAGAGCAGTTAATTGGGTCAAAGTTAAAATTTGCCCGGTTTGTTCTTTTTTTTTTCATTATAACAATTGATTCCTTGATTAGTTCAAAAGAACATTCTTGGAGAACTATCTTTCAAACAATATAATTTATATTCCAAAAACGAGTTATAAATAAAAGTATAGTTAAAATTAACAATATCCAACACAAGTAGTATTAGTTGTTTTTTTTTATCATTAAAATTTTTTTAACTACATGTCTTTAGTTTTGATGAAGTGCATTTTGCAAATTTGCCAGTTATTACTTAAAAGAACATATTTCTTTGAAGTTCATCCACCACTTGCGAAATTTATGATAGCAGCAATGAGATGACTATTTAATTTTGATGGACACTTTGAATTTGATAATATTGGAGATGATTATATAAAAACAATGTACCATATATAGGATTAAGAGGTTTACCTACAGCATTAGGTGCCCTCCTTGTTCCATTGACATACATCACCTTGATTGAATCAGGTTATCCAGTAGTAACAGCAACTTTTGCAGCTGGATTAGTTCTTTTTGGCGAGCAATCATTTCATCATAATTGTTTATTTTTGTTCATAGTAATAATTAGTGTTATATATTTTTTCAAGACATAAATAATCTCATAAAGTTGATTTGTCAGACACAATTGATTTTTCTTGATTTGATGCTTGTATTTTTTATGCTTTGCACTTTTTACTCTTATATAAACTACATTTGAGGTATTCAGTTAATCATCTATTTGTTGTTTATATATATATATAATTTAAAAAATTATATAGTGTCAAACCTTTAAAGAATATTCTAATAAATGGTGACTTTGGATAGTTATAACTTGATTTTTTTTGAGTTTGACATTAGGGTAAATAATTGATCAAAAATTTCAATATTACAATTTGATTATTCC